ATTACGAAGAAAAAATCAGTTAGCCCATTTTTTATTATTTTAAAGAGCAAAATAAAAACACAATTAAAACAAATACCAGAAATCAGACATTTCTTGTATCAGTCATTTTCATATATTTTAATTTTGATTTTTTTTTCTTGAGTGCATAATATTGCTAAAAATTAATTTAAAACATTACATGCTTTCTCAGTTTGAAATATTTGAATATTTGTACTTATCATCATTGTAATTTTTTGTTTTTTCATTTTGTAATAGATAATGGACAAGGGAAATACAAGTGATGATTGCTTTGATAGTGGAAACCCTCATGAACCAGTCCAAGTTCCAACTACAGAATTAATTACTGTTGCTAGTTTTACCACTACCACAATGCTTGTCAAAAATTCTTGTAAAACTCATCCATACCCTACTATTAATTTAGATAAAAAGAAATCTTAGATTTGGGATTGTTAGAAAAATAGTATCAAACTATATGGAAAATATAATTTAAAAATATGTAAACAGTTTTTGGGCAAAACCAAAACTGAAATAAATTGACAAAATAACGTAACAAAACTTAAAGCACATAAATAGATAAAATCTGATCGAGTCGAGTGTGTGACATTCTTTCCTTAAGACAGATTCGTCCTCCCACCGGTACTTAGGATTCAATGGACGTCTATCTCTCCGGATACAACGATCAATGTCCTGCACTAGCAGCACTACTATTGCAAGCCTAGTGAACTTCGTTGTGCATGTACTCTCTTTATAGGAAAATTAGACTCAGAAAATATGAAGAAAAAATGCAAAGTGAATAAGAAAATTGCAATTCACTTACAAATTGAAGTGAGGGGAATAAAATTTATAGATTCCTCCATGACTCTTTAGAAAGTTTGTGACCCTTCAAAAGGACACACCATTCCATGTCAAGAGACACAACCAATGGAGTAAATTTAATTCAAATTTTCCAACAATCCCCTACATGAATGAAATTTACGGAAAGAACATGCAACAACATGCAGACAAAGAGAGAGTACATTAAGGAAATACCCTGCATCAGGATAGGTAGTTTTTGGTTTTGAACCTTCCCTAGTGAAAGTCTATCGGACTTACTAGCTAATCAGTGAACGTGATGTCTTGAATTGTTCTGCCGTTTGTGTAAGTCAAGACAATAGAATTCACGCAGAATATCTCCAGACACAATTTAGTTCTCACGGTTGAATTTAGTTCTCATGGTTGTGCCCGTTTTGGCCTTAGTGTCACGACCCAAACCCGGCCCTATGGGTTTAGCACCGTAAGCGGCCAGTAATCCGAGATTACCGAAGGCCTGCTTAACAGCACAACCAATGGAGTAAATTTAATTCAAATTTTCCAACAATCCCCTACATGAATGAAATTTACGGAAAGAACATGCAACAACATGCAGACAAAGAGAGAGTACATTAAGGAAATACCCTGCATCAGGATAGGTAGTTTTTGGTTTTGAACCTTCCCTAGTGAAAGTCTATCGGACTTACTAGCTAATCAGTGAACGTGATGTCTTGAACTGTTCTGCCGTTTGTGTAAGTCAAGACAATAGAATTCACGCAGAATATCTCCAGACACAATTTAGTTCTTACGGTTGAATTTAGTTCTCATGGTTGTGCCCGTTTTGGCCTTGGGCATCTCCTGGTATTTCATGAGTACTTTAGAGAATTTTGCCTTATCAATTCTCATAGAAGTGGCCCCTTCACACTCATATAGGTAATCCTTATTTTGAGTCTCTTAAATACTCCTCTTGAAAGATATTCGTCTAGGGTTTTCAAGATATAAGTAATCATTAAAAGCATAGCTTACCCTAAGTTCCTTGCATACAACACATGTTGCAAATATCACTCTCATCATAAGAATAAAGAAAATGAATATATTGTTTATTGAATGAATCTCATTGGTACAGGATGAAGTCATATTTATACACTGCAATTGACTCTTAACCATAACTACCTAACCACAGTTAATGCTGAACAGTTACTCTATAACAAACTAACAACCTATAACAAAAATAAAAAACTATACAGCTGGATATTACACATGTGATGCAACTGCTGTAGCTTCTGTATCTGTCACAGCTGCTATATCTGTTGCAGGTTGCTGTGACTTATCATACCCCTGCAAGCTCAAGGGACTAGGAAGGACATTGAGTATGAGCTGAAGATATTGAAACCGAGCAACAGATAGAGGTTTAGTAAAGATATCAGCAACTTGATCTGAAGTGGGAATATGACAGATATGAAGCTTCTTGGATGCAACCCGTTCGCGAACAAAATGATAATCCACCTCAATATGTTTAGTACGAGCATGAAACACAGGATTGTTACTCATAGCTATGGCAGATAAGTTGTCACACCATAGGGTAGGCACAGGAACAAAAACATGAAGGTCAGCAAGCAACATTCCAATCCAACTAAGTTCAGCCGAGGTTTGGGCTAAAGCTCTATATTCAGCCTCCGAAGATGATCGAGACACAGTTGGTTGCTTCTTGGCAGACCAAGAGATAAGATTAGGACCAAGATAGATACAGTAACCAGTGGTGGACCTGCGATCAAGGATATTACCTGCCCAATCTGAATCTGAATATGCATTGAGAAGAAGAGGACCAGAAGTGAAATGAAGACCATAAGATAAGGTGCCTTTGAGATATCGTAGCAATCTTTTAACTGAGGTAAAATGGCTAGTCAGAGGAGAGTGCATGAATTGACAAAGATGATTAACTACAAAGGCTAAATCTGGTCTAGTAAGAGTAAGATACTGCAGGGCTCCAACCAAACTGCGGTACAAAGCTGGCTGAGAAAAGAGAGAATCTTCTGCTGCAGTAAGAGCACTGGAAGAAGACTTAGTAGCCATGGGAGAAGAGTAAGCTTTGCAGTCACTCATACCAGCCTTGGTTAATAAATCTGAGGCATATTTTTGCTGAGAAAGCACATAACCAGAAGCATGTTTTATGACAGAGATACCCAAGAAGTAATTAACAAAGCCAAGCTCCTTCATGGAAAAGGTGGTATGCATATGTGTAATGAGAGAGGTAATATAGAGAGGATCACTTCCTGTGAGGAGAATATCATCTACATAGATGAGAAGAATGGTAATAGCAGTAGAAGTCTTCTTAATAAAAAGAGAAGAGTCACAATGGCTTTGAACAAATTGATGAGTGAGAAGAAAATTGGAGAAGGTAGAGAACCAAGCTCTAGGAGCTTGCTTTAAACCATAGAGAGCCTTGTGTAACTTGCAAACAAGCTGAGATTGATTTGGTTGAACAAAGCCTGGAGGCTGAACCATATAAACTTCTTCTTCAAGAACACCATGGAGAAATGCATTAGATATGTCAAGCTGTTTGATGGGCCAATCAAAATGTAGGGCCAGACATAACAGAATTCTAATAGTAGGTTGCTTAGCCACAGGACTAAAGGTCTCATGATAGTCCACCCCTTCAGTCTGAAGAAAGCCCTTGGCAACTAACCTTGCCTTATATCTGGCTATAGAACCATCTGAATTTTTCTTAATTCTATAAACCCATTTGCAGCCTATTGCCTGTTTGCCAGGTGGAAGATCAACTAAAGACCAAGTACCTTGTTTTTGTAAGGCTTGAAATTCTTCAAGCATAGCAGATTGCCAAACAGAAGAAGAAGCTGCTTGCTGAAAAGTTTGTGGTTCAGACTGAGGAGAGAAAGAAGAAAGACAAGCAGTATGAGAAGAGATTGATTTGGATCTGGTAATCATGGGATGAATATTAGAAGAAAGAGAGGGAAGATCAATAGAGATTTTGGAAATAGCAATCGGATCAGAAGGGACAGGAGATAGAAGAGGAACAGAAGTGGAAGAGACTGGTACTGCTGGAATTGAGAAAACAGTGGGAGCTGCTGGATTAGAGTAGGCTGCTGGAGTAGTGGCAGCTGTTGGATTTGCAGAAATTGGGTGAACTGTTGGAGTAGGTGTAGTTGCTGGGACTGTTGGAATTGTTGTAGCTGGAGTAGGTGCAGCTGTTGGAAGTGGAAGAGCTGCTGGAGGAGATGCAGTGTGAGAGGAAGATAGAGGTGAAGACCAGAAAAACTGCTGGAGAGAGGCAGCAGTGGTAGAGGAAGACTGTTTGGAAGAAGTCTGAAAAGGAAAGAAAGACTCATCAAATACCACATGTCTGGAGATATAGACTTTGCCTGTGATGGGATCAAGACACCTATAACCTTTGATGGAAGGTTGATAACCAAGAAAAACACAAGGAAGAGATCGAGGTTGAAGTTTATTAGTGGTATATGGTTTGAGCCAAGGATAGCATCTACAGCCAAAGGATCTTAAGAACATATAATTAGGTTTCTGTTTGAATAAGACCTCATAGGGAGTAAGATTTTTAAGTTTGAGAGTAGGATGTCTATTAATCAAATAGACAGCAGCTGTAAGAGCATCAAACCAGTAAATTAAAGGTAGAGAAGAATGATGCATGAGGGTAATAGTAGTTTCAATGAGGTGCCTATGTTTCCTTTCAGCTACACCATTTTGGGAAGGTGTATGTGGACAAGTTAGTTGATGGTCAATGCCTTTATTTTTAAGAAAATTTTGAAATGATGTACTAAGATATTCCCCTCCATTATCACTGCGAAGAATCTGAAGTTTAGTTTGAAATTGAGTCTCAACAAATGATTTAAATTCAAGAAATTTAGTGAAAACTTCACTCTTATAATGCAAAGGAAAAAGCCAAGTAAATTTGCTAAAGTCATCAATGAAAAGCACATAGTACTTAAAACCTGAAACAGAAGAAGCAAAAGGGCCCCAAACATCTGTATGGATAAGAGCTAATGGTTTATTTACAGTGGAATTAGACAAATGAAAAGGCATCCGATGGCTCTTTGAAACACAACAATGTTCACACAAACTAGAGCCTTTATTGGACAAAACATTAGAACCTAGATTATTATGAGAAAGAATATGATGAAGCTTCTTAGAGGAAGGATGACCAAGTCTGAAATGCCAATTAGGTGTTCCTGTAGGTGATGAAGGTGTTCCTGTAGGTGATGAAGGTGTTCCTGTAGGTGATGAAGGTGTTCCTGTAGGTGATGAAGGTGTTCCTGTAGGTGATGAAGGTGTTCCTGTAGGTGATGAAGGTGTTCCTGTAGGTGATGAAGGTGTTCCTGTAGGTGATGAAGGTGTTCCTGTAGGTGATGAAGGTGTTCCTGTAGGTGATGAAGGTGTTCCTGTAGGTGATGAAGGTGTTCCTGTAGGTGATGAAGGTGTTCCTGTAGGTGATGAAGGTGTTCCTGTAGGTGATGAAGGTGTTCCTGTAGGTGATGAAGGTGTTCCTGTAGGTGATGAAGGTGTTCCTGTAGGTGATGAAGGTGTTCCTGTAGGTGATGAAGGTGTTCCTGTAGGTGATGAAGGTGTTCCTGTAGGTGATGAAGGTGTTCCTGTAGGTGATGAAGGTGTTCCTGTAGGTGATGAAGGTGTTCCTGTAGGTGATGAAGGTGTTCCTGTAGGTGATGAAGGTGTTCCTGTAGGTGATGAAGGTGTTCCTGTAGGTGATGAAGGTGTTCCTGTAGGTGATGAAGGTGTTCCTGTAGGTGATGAAGGTGTTCCTGTAGGTGATGAAGGTGTTCCTGTAGGTGATGAAGGTGTTCCTGTAGGTGATGAAGGTGTTCCTGTAGGTGATGAAGGTGTTCCTGTAGGTGATGAAGGTGTTCCTGTAGGTGATGAAGGTGTTCCTGTAGGTGATGAAGGTGTTCCTGTAGGTGATGAAGGTGTTCCTGTAGGTGATGAAGGTGTTCCTGTAGGTGATGAAGGTGTTCCTGTAGGTGATGAAGGTGTTCCTGTAGGTGATGAAGGTGTTCCTGTAGGTGATGAAGGTGTTCCTGTAGGTGATGAAGAACAAGAGAAAAAAAAAAAAAAAAAAAAAAAAACATTACATTGGCCCCCCAAGATGCCCAATGTGATAGGTCCTTCTCATGGGCCCATTTCTATAAACAAATCAGATTTATATCACATGGAAACTGGGAATGGAAATTATGGCCATTGAACCAATAATAATAATAAACAGAGGCCAAACAAACTAAGCACCAAAGTTGATCAAAAACTGACATACCTATCTGTTTAGAATTGAACCATCACGCGAATAACCACTCCGGTGATACAGAACGTTATGGCATCTAAGTCCTCTGCAGATATCACTCTCATCATAGGAATGGATAGGAGTTAGACTCCTTTAGTGATTTCTAGCGGGTCACACATAACTTAGTTGTCCATTTGAACTTAGTTCTTGAGATTTCCAGTAATTTAAGTAGGGTTACCATTATGATGACTCTAATGTAATAGGCTTTAATCACATTCCCCTCGATGAACTTTCCCTCATTTGCTCTCTGGTCAAACTTTTTGTTTAGCGGCCGCTATTTTTCCGTTTGACCTTCTCAGTTATATATCATTGAGCAGTTCGTGGATCCACTATATTTTCCTTAGACAATATACACAATTGAAAGCAAATGTCTTACGGTATTAAGTCTTTGATTACTTCAAGACTTACCGTTACTCTATGTCACTCCTATTTTCAAATTTAAATAATAAACATAGAGGTGTTCCTTAGGAGTTAATGAAACCATATTTGTTTCTACTCTAACTTTGTCCTATAAAAAGAATTGAGATTCTTTGTGCACCTACAATCAGAACCGTTACTTTGGTAAAATCCTCCAATCACCCCCACGTTTTAAGCATTCCAACGAAACTTAATTTTTCTTGCTGGTGTATAATAAATACACCCCCACAATTCTGAGATAAATCAGAATATATCATTAATTGGCGTGCTTGAACTAAATGACAAGATGTAAATTGCTTTGTGAATATAATCACAATACTAATTTGTCTAAAATATAATTAGACTTCATAACTTGCTTTTGCAGTACAAAGAATAAATGACTAATACCGGTTGTAGCCACAACACTTTGTCAAATAATATTTCTTTAGCCATAATTAATTTCTTTTTGTTTATTGCAACCCTTAATTTCAATCTCAACATGGAATATAAATATCACTGTATAAATACACTTACATCTTATTTGTCTTATCCAGTATTGGTGACTACATCGACAATTACCAAAGTGTCTTTTACCCATGAAATATTTTAACTCATATAATATTTCATTACAGAGTTATTAGTTACCTAGTCATTATTCCATAAAATAGTTAGAATTCCTGTTATGTCAAAACACATAGGTTCACATTTTTATCAACACTTTAATGAATAATTGACATCCATTTATAATACACCACATACCAAATTGATATTAATGATATCATATAAAAAAATGATGTTTTTAATTGTCAAGTTTACAATATTAGTAGACATGGACAAGATTAACAAGTCAATCATAATTATAATTTTCTCATTAATCTCTCTCTCATATTTGTGATAATACATAAACTAACACAAACAACATGATTCATTTCCAGACAAGTGTTACTGTCACAAATAATAATTCATTCAAAAATATTTGGGACAAAAATGGAATTATCTCTTCTAATTCAAAAGATAAACTCCCACATTAAGAACATGATTCATAGTTACACCAAGTCTACCACACAAGTGAAATAAAAATTGAAGACACTTATCTCACAAAATTCAAAGTTACTTTAAAAATAACTTTCAATTGATTATTAAAAATAATAATCAACACAAAAAAGTCCTCAATCTGTTATCAATTAAATGGAAAACACTACTATTTAAATTATCATGTTTAAATATCTCTGGTGATCCAGATTGTGTTGACATTGCATGAATACTACTACCACAATCAAACAAAAGTTATTTACACATAATTTTTCTCATAGTACTCTAAAAGAAATTCATTGATGATGTCATCATCACAATCACAAATTAATTGAAAATTTCACAGTATATATATTTGTATACAAAATATTTTCAATTAAACTTTAATCATAAAATTAATTAATCAATTTTATCAGTATATATTTGATTATCGACATCAAATTAAATTATCTCATAGAACCATATAAATTTACCAATCGGTACAAAAGCACTGCCTATCATGATATTAAAAGAAACTAACAAATATAATATATATAGTTATCAAGCAATTGATAGAAGTTACACAACTTTTCAGAAGAAAACCACCAACCGACATAACTATATATACATACATATATGTATATATCTATATATTTTTCACAAACTAACAGCCAACATAAACAAAATTATATTAGATAATAAGATTACAAAACAAAATTACATACTTGCTCTATATCTTTAAAATCCATCTTGTACCGTTATCAGAATTTATAAAAACAATGTTTCGGTTTCTAATTCCTTTTCTATTTGTTGCCATAGAGAGCCTTCTTCTCTGACTCCACCAATCATCATGATATACACCAAGTGCCATTGTTAAACTTAGTCCTATCCTTACCAGGAACCAACTAATTTCCAAATCTCCGATCTGAATTTCTCCGAAGAGAATCCAAGAACTGTCATGGGGAAGATTAGCAGTTTAGAAACAATTTGGTGCAAGAATGACGTAATATAAGCCATATGTCGAAGGGGGACGAAGAACAGAATCAAAGACCACCACTCCCACATTGCATCTGACTTAACGTGCACTTCCTTCGCCCTTCGTACAGCGCATAATAGTAAACAGCGCAAATATCCGAAAGGGCCAAACAAGAGAACTCCCCTAGTAAACTAATCTTGGTCTGGGTGAACTCATCAGCATGACTACCCATTTTTTAATTGATTTTAATTCTAAAGAAAATATGATAGGTCCAAGCACCAATTCTAGTGCAAAATTAAAGACACCGTTTGGCATCTTTCAACATTCACGCATGGCAACCGTCATCTTCTTACGACCACATATTGAAAATTATACCCCAAACACATCCAACTAACCAATGGACTGATGTTAACAAAATAATTAGTTAATGTCGGGAAAAATCAAAATTATATTTTCCCAAAAATCACAAACATTTTAGAATCTGTCTTAAGATTGTTAGAAAAATAGTACCAAACTATATGAAAAATATAATTTAAAAATATGTAAATGGTTTTTGGGCAAAACCAAAACTGAAATAAATTGACAAAGTAATGTAACAAAACTTACAGTACATAAATAGATAAAATCTGATCTAGTCAAGTGTGTGACACTCTTTCCTTTAAGGCATATCCGTTCTCCCACCAGTGCTTAGGATTCAATGGACGTCTATCTCCCAAGATACAACGATCAATGTCTTGCATTAGCAGTACTACTATTACTGTGCATGTACTCCCTTTATAGGAAAATTAGACTCAGAAAATATGAAGAATAAATGCAAAGTGAAGAAGAAAATTACAATTCACTTGCAAATTGAAGTGAGGGGGATAGAATTTATAGATTCCTCCATGACTCTTTAGAAAGGTTGTAACCCTTCAAAAGGACACACCCTTCCATGTCAAGAGACATAACCAATGGAGTAAATTTAATTCAAATTTTCCAACAGGGAACACTTCACCTTACTTGATGGTTATGGGCCTAAAAAACCTAGGGCTGCTTATAATTATTGTGATAAGGATTATAGTGCTCGTGGAAAATAAGATAGGGCTAGTTATATGTGAAACCACCATAGGCATCAACAATATATGAAGTCTCATATTAAGAAAGTGGACAAAAAAAAACTATTAGGGAAGTGGACAAAAAACAAAAAACGCTCTCTTTTGTTAAAAAAGAAGGAGAAGGAAGGGTTGGATCTCTCAAAGCAATAGGATATGATGAAAAACTGCTTAGGGAAGCACTAACAAAGATGATTATAATTGATGAATTACCTTTTAGGAATGTGGAAAAGGAAGGACTTAGAAATTTGTGTCTAGTTATGCAACCTAAGTTTATTGTCCCTTCTCGCATTCCTGTTGCTCATGATTGTTTGGGATTATTTGTTGATGAAAAACAAAAATTGAAGAAAATTTTCAAGGAAGCAACGAGTATGTGCCTAACCGTTGACACTTGGATATCAATTCAAAATCTAAATTATATATGTGTCACTGGCCATTAGATTGATAATGATTGGAATTCGTACAAAAGAATTCTTAGTTTTTGTATAGTTCCTAATAATAAGGGTGAGACAATTGACAAACAATTAGACAAATGCTTGCAAGATTATGAGATTGATAAGATTTTCACTATTACAGTAGATAATGCAAGCTCCAATGATGGTACTATTGCATTTTGGAAGAGAAGAACCAAAGATTGGCGTTTCATTATCATGGCAAATGAGTTTATGTATATGAGATGTTATGAACACATTGTGAATTCAACTGTTTGTGATGGTTTAAAAGAACAAAATCACTCAATTGCCAATATTCGAAAAACTGTTAAATCTGTTAAGTCATCTTCGACTAGGTTACAAACTTTTAAAAATTGTGTGGAACATGAAAAGATTATTACTTGTAAAAGTTTGCTATACTTTGATATTCCAACAAGCACTACAACATATCAACATATAAGAGTTTTAGAGACCAAATGTTTAGATCCCCAAAAGTAAAAATTTTGTTACAAAAGATATTTAGGGACCAATTTTCATCGTTATAAAGATAGTCACTAAAAGGTTATCCTTAAAAGTAAAAAAATAAGGCTTTTAGCGACAAAATTTTGAAAATGTCACTAATAAATAGACTTTTAGGGACAAAATAATTTGGTCTCAAAATGATTAATTTTTTGAGACAAAAAATTTGATCCCAAAAAGATAATAATTCATTACTAATGTCTAATTTTTGCTGCTAAAATATAATAACAAATTTTTCACAACAAAATTATTTGGTCTCTGAAAAATAATCTTGTCCCTACATTTTGATCTCTAAAATCTTAATTTTTTTGTAGTAATGGT